TTTTATCCTTACATTAATCTTATATCTCAAAACTCTCTTCAACTTCTTTTTTGTTATTATCTGTTATTATTATTTATAATTTATATAGTTAACCTCTTTGTGTTCGACCTCGGTCTTGCCAAGTTATTTATTATTGCAACACTCCTGCACTTGAGAGAAAATATCAATCTTTTGGTCGTGTTAGTTAGCTATCGGACTATTAAGTTGCATGTATTTTTTTATTCAAATTCATATTTCAGAGATTAGTTGTTGTTTCAAAATATATCATTTTTTAATTTTATATTTGTTGTGTTATTGCGTTGATTAGATTGATGTTATTTAAGTCAATGTAAATAGGTAATATTAATTGTGAGTATAACTGTTTATGATAACAAAAAATAAATAGTATAAAAGTTAAAGATAAAGTTACAAATGAAAATGATACATATGATGGTTTTAAAGTGTAGAAATTCAAAACATTAATGGACAAAAATGTAAAGTAATGAAAACAAAACAGTAAGGCCATACCATAGCATCTTGAATAATTGAAGGAGGACAATAGCTTAATTGGAATCACTTGAAAGTAATCAACATTTTGCCCACAAAAGAACATTTATATGTTTATTTTTTCCTCACATGTAACTCGACGATGAAATAAGTCAAATTGGTAATATTCATAATGGATGAAAAATAAATAAGTTGAATTCCTGTAATTAGTTAAGTTGAAACTGATATTATATATTTATATTCGTTAGGTTAAAAGAAAAATACCTGTAATTAGTTTATTTTAATTTTTAGAATTTAATTATGTCTTATATTTTGATGATGAAGTAAATTTAATGTAAAAAATTATTGGATCATGGAAAAGCATGTAAATTATGTTATTATTTGGTGAAGGTTTAGGATGGTTGTATAGTGACTTGAGATTGATTGTGTGAATTTGTGGTAACGTGGATAACATGGTATACTAAAAAATCCTGGTTTTTCAATGTACCAATGATTAATGAAAAGATCTTAAAGTGTTCTTAAAGCGAGGGATGTTCTTAAAGTAGGGAATGTTTCATCACCTCACTTGTATATGATAATTGCAGCCACTTTCCAGCAGAAATGCACAGGAACCCTAAACTGGTTGTCTGGTAAAGTTCTTACTGGGTTGTTCCGATACCGATGACGGTAACCGGTGCATAGCGGAGCTGTATGTTTCCAGTTTATATTTATTGATTGCATGGGTAGATTAACCACCAAAAAGAAGAAAAGGCGACGTAATTCTGACGTCGAATACTTGTGGATGGGGGCAAAAAGCAATCGAGGATGGAGATTTGAGCTCGATATAAACGTTTGTAGAGCTGCAGTTCTTGCACCTTACTCCAATGGGGATGGAAACCCAGCACCCATTGCAGTAGCTAGAAGCATAGCAGCAAAAGATGCTAAATCTGTGGTCTCATCAGCTAAATAGAAAGCGAGGAATTTGAGATGGACCACACAACACATGAGCAGCATTTGCCACATACGAGTATTGACCAAGCATTGGATCTTCCAAGTTGCTTGCTAAAACACGCATAATTCCTTTATTATTTATATTCCTACATCATGAAATTTCTGTTTATATACTTTCTGGTTCTTGAGGTTGTTTATTAGTTTAAGGTAGAATCCCCCCCCCCCCCCCCCCCCCCTCCACCCCCC